GGGGAGACGGGGAGACAGGGTGGGGAGAGGGGAGACGGGGAGACAGGGTGAGGAGACAAGGAGACAGGATAGATACAGGGTGATAAAAATAAACTGTACAACTTTTTTTCCTGAATATCTAGCACAAAAACTGTTCTAAAATGCTGTAATTTGGAAGAGACATAATTCATTCGAAAGGAATTTGTTTGACATATATATGAAATACACAAAGAACAAACTTATTTTGAAAACGGAAATGGCATAAAGCAAAAAGCACCAAAGAAGGCAAGGTTCACCAATTTTTAAGAATCTCGTAAAGGAAGTCATGAAAAGATTGGTTGACTTTTTATTTATTTTCTCTTTGGCGTTTAATTTTCCATCCCCGTGGCATTTACACTATATTTAATTCCTTTTACAGATAAAAAAAAACCCTAACGATTTCGTTTTGAAATTCCTAGAAGCAATGCTCTACATGCCCTCCTTGGGACTCAACACATTTTTAACGCGTCGTTCGAAATGTTCAATGGCGCCCTAACACCAGGACCTGCTAAACCATGAGTGTTTAAAGCCACACACACTGTACATATTCAGTATGAAGTGGCTTTTTGAGACAATAGGGAGTAGAGTGGCCAATATACAGCATTTCTGGAGTCAACATATTCCGCAGGTTGAAAATGGGCTTTGCACTACACCAAATGTCATCGAGGAAATGATCCCGCTTTTCAAGACAATCAAGGAATCATGAACACATTGGCATGCTCTGACCCATATCATCTCGGCCTAGCGAAGATGAAAATGTTGCAAACGTAGGTTAAGATCTGCAATGAGAATGTAGACTGTAGAGGTGTAGGAAAGTCCTAGCTGCAGATCGTCTACAGACAGACATGGGACTCGACTACTGAAATATCTGCACCCTGTTGACGTTAAAAGGGCTGCGCATGGTGTGTGTTCCACCTGAAGTGGTCATTTTTAAGGACATTTTTAGTTCTGATTCGCCAAAGATCCAAAATTGACGGAACTTCTCTACTCATGACGCCAAAAGGTCTTGAGGTCACCTACGCATTCTTTTCATATCGTGCACAGAACTTATGAAATGCCAGGGATTGTGAGTTTGTGGAGAGGTAATGTTCGATACAAAAAACTCTCTGCTTTTTACCTAAACGCAACCATGATCTCAGCAGGTAAACGAAATTTTGGAAAAATAATATCTGCAGATTTCTGTTGATTTGTTAAACTGCTGTAGCTTGCAATATGGC